GTGTTAGTAGTAGGCCCTCAGGGATCCCTGATCGCTTCTCTGGCTCCAAGTCTGGCAACACAGCCTCTCTGACCATCTCTGGGCTGCAGCTGGAGGATGAGGCTGATTACTACTGCTGTTCATATGCAGGCAATTACAATTACCACAGTGGGCCAAGTTGAAGGAGAAGTGAGACCAAAACCTCCCCTAAGGACAAAAGCTCCTTCTTGCTCTGATAAAGCTTTCTAAACTCTAAATAGTTAGCTTCCTGAAACATGGACTAGAAATTCCGTTCCCTTTCAACTGTTCTCCAGTGCCACGGTGAAATAATGAACAAAATATATTCCATTTTATGTTCCTGGTACAGTGACAGCATATTCTGCTCAGTGTGAAGTGGTCTCAGGAGATGTGTATCTGTCCAACTCTTCATTTTGTTTAAGAGAGGGTCAAGTCCATATCTATAGGTACAATTCCTCCAGTTATCAGGGAAATCCTCATTGTAAATGCCTCCATATCCCTCCATGGTGCAGGCCTGCCTTGGTGTAGTTTGTCATCAATGACATTGTTTTATTCATTTCATATTCACCATGCTTCAGTCAGGGTGACCCTGGATGGGTGATTTCTTTTTTGCCTTTTTTTGAAGGAAGTTCACTGAGACTAGTTGGAGGGACATGTAAAAGACATGGAAAAATAGTTTCACAGTTGGGGTCTGGTGGGTAGATCAGTCCTGAGGAGTTCATCCCTAACAATGTTAATAATGTTGCCAAGGGAGTGAGACAGAGTAAGTGCAAGTTTTCATCAATGTCACTCATTTCTAAACCCAAATGAAAGAAACTGAGCAGGAGAGATTGAGAGTGGAATCTCCTTCTTTTATAGAATCACAAGTCAATAGACCCCTGTATCCAAAGTTTCTCTGGCATAGTATGAACTCCTAACTAAAGGGATCCATTTTTTAATAATGCAAAGGTATTTGGTGGGTGAGAACGCCATTCCTCAGGGTTTTCAATGTACATTATATACCAACCCAATGACTAAGTAGAACCCCAATTATAATGAAATACTAATTATATATATAGACATTTGGTCTGCAATGATAGTTCCATCATGAAAAACCACATAAATCAAAAATATAAGTAAATGATGCTTTTAGTACCCCTAGCCTGATGAACTTCATTGCTTACCAACACCATATACTGAAGAGTATATTATTTGCCCTTGTAATTGCAAAGCTTAGTGGAGCTTCTCAGTATTGCAATCAAGTTACAATACACATGTAGCTACACTGAGAAAGATCAAAATTGAAAACTGGAAGTATGAATTTTATTGGTTGTAATATGCCATGACCAGTCTAGCCAATCTAACAGGTTCTGGTGAGGTATGATGGGGCTAGAAATAAAAGACTCACAGATGCACATTTTGAAGATAAAATATCTGGGATCAGGTGGAGTGCAATTCTCTGAGGGAGAAGGAGATCTAAAGAGTTACACTAGTCATCTTTATATATATAAATATATATACACACACACACACATATATATACACATATATAATGTATACATATATTA